GGCAGTCCTCTGATTCTCTGAATTGCCAGCTGCTCACATCAGTCTTCACATCAAACACCCATGCTCCCCTTCAAGGATTACTTCATATTCTAACCAAAAAAGCACAAATGACCAGGAATTTATTTTTAGGAGCCTAATTAACTGATTTTTCACTCACATGGAAAGTATGAAAACAGCAATGCTATTTTGCAGTGGATGGAGGTGAATTCGCCCCCGGGCTCCCCTTTAATAACTTATTTAAATTTTGATGTAAAGCCCTGTGGAACTGGGAAAGTCCCCCAAGGCCACAAATTAATCACAATACTGGGCGAAGTCTACATCAGACTATGATAGTCTGTCCCTGTCTTTTCCGCTTGGCTTTGCTGCAACTGCTCCCTGCAGTTAGGCCCAGGACAAAGCCCAGTGTGATGCTCATAGTTGGAGGCAAGATGTTGTTGCTTCTTCCACAACTTCTAACCGGATTTCGGTTTCCTGCCTTTTGTTTAGGATGACTCATTATTTGCCACTCACTCATCTGCATGTGCAATGTCTACAAATGAAAACAGAGAAAATTCCTAGACAATTAAAAAAAATGTTTTATTTACAAGAAAAAATCTGTACACTGTGTATACATAAAAATATACAAAATCAAAATAGAAAATATCAAAACCTTAAAATGTGTACAAACGCCTTTAAAATGTAACCCCTGGAAACCTCAAGCCTTAGTTTGAAGAACACACATTTCATTTAAAAATTGTCATACAAAAAAAAGTCCCAATGCTGTTAAAAAAGTTCACTGGTTTCTACCAGAAAAGTTTTCTAAGTATTTTTTTTTAATCTAGGATAAACAGAATGTGTGATATTATATTATGTCTTAATGCTACCAGTACAGTTAATTTGCTTGAAACCTACCTAATGAAAAGATGCTTTTCTGTAGAACCAATCAATGTTTCTTCCCTGAATCTTGTGAAAGTCATGAGTTGTCAACTTCTCATCAAACTTCAGAGTGACATTAGGCTGTCTTCAGGTTATGGGTTCACCTTCACAGTGATGTTTAAACATGTTCACTATACCGAGTGTATGGAAGACTAATTTTTTTAAACAGAAGGACAAATAACATTTGTTTCCTTCTCTTAAAAACTTGGTGTTTGTGCTCTAGCCAGTTGCTAAGTGGTAAGAGCATTGGCCCACGAACTGAAGGGTCAAGGGTTTGATTCCAGTCAAGGGCAAATACCTTGGTTTCAGGTTCAATCCCAGGCCTCAGTCGGGACATGTGTGGGAGGCAACCAATTGATGTGTCTCTCTCACATAGATGTTTCTCTCAGTCTTTCCCCATCCCTTCCACTCTCTTAAAAAAAAAAAAAAAAATCAACGGCAAAATATCCTTGGGTGAGGATTAGCAAAAAAACAAATACCCAACAACAAAAAACCCCTAGAGTTTGCATAATTAAAATAGGATTATCACAAAGATTTAAGAAATAAAGTTTGATGAAAAAAGACAATATAAATCCAACCATGTGTGTAGATATGTGTATATACAATTATATAACTATATCCATATGCACACTTTTATAACAAGAATGAGAACTAATTCTTTAAATTCCACCAGTCCAAACTTGTAGAGGAATATGCTGGATTATATTTTCTTACTAAAAAGCTTCACCTGTTCAATAAAACAAGAACTAGCACTTACATTTTATCTTTGAATTGACAGAAATACCTTTCATTTCCCAATTTTGTAAAGTCCTAGTGACAGAAAACATGCAGAATATTTTTCACAATGGAAATATCCAGAGTACAAAAAAATTTTGAACTCAGGCACATTTTATGCAAGCAATTCATTTCTAAATGTATCTGCCTTTACCAGCTGTGCAACCACTGGATAGAGTTCTAGACTATCAGAATGTGAGAAGTCACATAGATAGTGTTGTAGAGTATATGCAGAGGCTATTGGCCTATATATTCAGTCATGTATTTCTTCATAATCCTCCCACCTCCTCTCCCATTTCTTTTCATAGCTAAGCAGAAGTGAGCCAGGTGACTTTGGCCATCAGCCCAAACATGCTCTGTGCCACGTGTCTCCGGAGACCTGAATCTAGTCATCTGTGCAGACATCACATACCATGACGCATGTGAAGCTGACCCCACCTACATCAAAATTCTCCCATCACATACCATGGCACATGTGAGATTGACCCCACCTAAGGTGCCCAATGGGACCTGGTTAATTCAGTGACGGAAATGCTGCCACCAAAAAGGGTTATTTCTTGAGAAAAGCAGCCCCGTACTGACTGAGGGGAGGGCCACGCTCACAGGGCCAGCACTGCCTTCCATGGGGGCAATGAGAACGCTCCACCTGGTACACCTTATCCTCACACCTGGACGGACTGGTGAAAGGAGTTAGGGAGAACCTAGATGAACTTAAGCTGTCATCCTTTGCCAACAGTTGTTTCTTTGTGATTACAACAAAACAAAACAAAAAGATCAAGTGAAAGATCAGGAAATATATAGCAGTGTGACCTTGTTCATCCTGAGAGTGAAGCAAGGGGCCAGTGGCCTTGGGCTGCACTATGAGGACTTGATTAGTGTCCCTTCACAGAGGATGGAGGGTTTAGAAGGGGCAGGGCCTGGAAAAAACACAGTGGGGCTGTTCATTATCAACTATGTCACAGAAGGCCTGTATGCTTTACTGCAGTTCATATGGAGCCTATAAGGACTTAACGTCTGGCCAAATATTGCACTTAACCCCCATTTGGTTAATACTCGAAGCAGTCATCATGCTAACTCTAACTGCCTAATATTTTGAGAGGCTAAACAATTTAAAGTTCTAAACTGGAGAACGCTCAGCCCATGCTATATTAGTATGTGTACCACATTTTTGGAATTTTAACAAATTCTGAGTCCCAAGAGTCAAGACCATAATAAATTCAAAGATTTTAAACTCCTTCTATATCCTCCAGTCTTTCTTATCATTTCAGTGACATAGAAAGCACTTTAAAAAAGTATATTTGTTACAACATAATGCAATTTAAAAATCTTTGAAGTGTTTTCTGGGGCTTTGGACCTTGAGTATTTACACTGACCCAATACATTTTCCTCTAACCAATTTTTCCAGTCATCCAGTGGTTGTCCTGGTGATGGGATGTGGTAGGGGCTCACGAGGACCACTGGGGAACCTCCATTCCCTGCATTTGAGGGCAGAGCCAGGTCTGGGGCCAGGACTGCAAGAGGACTGCTCACTGTACCAGCGCTACCTCACCAGCATCCAGCATCACTAGACATGGGATGAGACTGAGCTCTTCTAGGAAATAAGGGAGTAAAGCGCTTAACATAAGCTAATGTGCAGGAAAAAATTACCCATCCCTTCTCATACGCACAGAAACAAAGCTATCACAGGGACTTTCATGGACACTGCCACATTAAACTTTCAGTTATTTCACTATTACAGTAAAGATGTCTATAGGATTCTGCTATCCATTTGGATTTCTGTTGAGATGAGCCAAGTAGTCATCAGTTTCTGTAAATCACTTTGCTCAAGAAAGCAGTCCTGAGAGGGCTCAGCAAAAAGCAATCTTGAACAAAAAAAAAACTTTCCATAAGCCTTCCTGCCATTCACACACTCTCTAAGGGGAAGGTACTTAACTAAGCTATTGTAGTCATTGCAAAGAAGTGTCAAAACAGATCAGTGAAACATGTTTTGGTTGCATATTGAAATAATGCCATGTTTAATTTAAGTATTTCAAATGTTTCTGTTTCACTCTGTTCATCTCAAAATCTTTTTTTCCCAATATATGAGTGACCAAAGTTTAGATTAAGTAAAATAAAACTGAATATAGCTAATGCCTTAGGTGACCATTTCCCCTCCAGTTTGTCTTTCCCCTGAAGCAGATACATGTTTTCCTTGTTGCTAAAGAACCACGCTTTCACACTATCTTATTTAACTATATGGCTTTGTTATGTTGCTGACATAAAACACATCTGTGGAAATGAGGACAGTATTCCTAAACATTCATCTCTCCATTTGTAGGAAGAATTAGTACCAGGTTTCCAACAGCTGATACTAACCTGCAAGAAATCCTCATAAAAGACAAAGATGTGCATCCCAGAAGCAGGGGGTTACTGCTCCCAAACCCTTCCTTCTGGGTTGGAAGGAGCCCTTCCCATTAGGGGTGTCCTCGTTGTCCTGTATATGACTAGGAAGGCCATGGGGAGGACTGGCTGGTGAGAAGGTCCAAGGCGGAGCGCTGGGGCTGGGAAACATCCCATGCAGGGTTACCCTGCAGCCTCGTTACTCTGTGCTACTTACCAGTGCTGCTCCTTCCTTCTGGGGGATGCTCCCCGTTGATAAGAAAATCATGCAGGAAAACCACATGTCTTCTCTGTGTGCAATTATAGGCTGGACTGTTCTTGGCCTGCTTGACTTGGATGCTCTATGGTTTCAGAAATGTGTCTTGACATAGAACAAATCACTTGTGGCCATGGGAAGCAGATGGCGAATGCAACGGTTTGGAAATACAGGCATCTCACAGGAATCCTAGATTCCTGGTGTTAAAATAAACACAGCCGAGTGGCAAGTCAGATATTTGTCATAAACTCCAGAATGCCTGCACAAGTGACGTTCGATGCTGTAAACACCGTGCCTCAATGTCCCTGCTTATGGGTCTAAACCTTTCTTTAGTGTTCGATGTGTTGCAGGCATCAGCTCTGTCACTGACACCAGCCCTGATAAGCTGTGCCCACAGCGTGGAAAAAGCTTAGCTGTGTTGTTGTACATTTTATTTTCTTCTTCCGGCTATTCTTTTTTGCGCATCTTTCTTGATCTTTTTCCCCTTTCAATTCCATTATATATTCAAAGCAGCAATAAATACTCAAGGGCTTAGAAAGAGAAGAATTCTCGAGGCCATCACTAAATTGCAGTTTAAAGACTCAAGACCACACCTAAAATACAAGTTCAAATATTCTTTTGTGACTTAGCGCACAACAGTGGTACTTATTGCACATTGGTTCCCCAGAGACCCTTTTCAAGAGTTGGGGGCGGAGCAGTGCACAGCCCGCAGCCCTGGCAGAACCACCTTGCCCTTGCGGTGCAGGTCTCCTTGGGCACCAGTGTTCAGGCGCTGCACCAGCAGCTTCTCGTAGAGCAGAGGGTGGTAGGCCCCGAGGGTGCAGGCCGCGTCGTAGTATAGCTCGTGGTAGTGGCACAGTTCTGTCTGCCTGACAGACGGGAGGTATTCGTACACGTGCACCTCACTGCACAAGGACATCATGAGGAGGATTCCTGAGGCAGAAAGAAAATGGAACCCGATGACCTCCACGTGGGAAGTTCCTACTGGCAGGGTGGTGGGGAATGACGGTGACCAGAAAACCTTGCTCTCCAGGCTTTCCACTTCCAGTGAGTGCGTATACTGGTTCATGGGAATGGGGCACATGAAGATATATACTAGTCTGGCCTGTGTGACTCAGTGGTTGAACATCAACCAATGAACCGGAGATCACACTTCGATTCCTGGTCAGGGCACATGCCCGGGTTGTGGACTCTATTCTCAGTGTGGGGCATGCTGGAGGCAACCGTCAAGGATTCTCTCTTATCATTGATGTTTTTATCTTTCTCTCCCTCTCCCTTCCTCTCTGAAATCATTAATATATATAATCCCTTATATATAAAGATGTTATACTAGCAGCCCTGGCCGGAGTCTCAAGTGGTTGGAGAGTTATCCTCTACATCAAAAAGTTGTGGGTTCAGCTGAAACCGGTTTGGCTCAGTGGTAGAGCATCAGCCTGCAATCTGAAAGATCCCAGGTTCGATTCCGGTCAAGGGCATGTACCTTGGTTGCGGGCACATCCCCATTGGGGGGTGTGCAAGAGATAGCTGATCGATGATTCTCTCTAATCCATGTTTCTAATTCTCTATTCCTCTCTCTTCCTCTCTGTAAAAAGTCAATAAAATAAAATAAAAGTTGTGGGTTCAATTCCCAGTCAGGGCATGTATGAGGCAATTGATTGATGTTTGTCTCACATCAATGTTTTCCTCTCTCTAAAATTAAAAAAAATACATATCCTTGGGTGAGGATTAAAAAAAAGATATATATATATATATATATATATATATATATATATATATATATATATTTATATATATAAATTTGTTCAGTTGAGTACTGTGGATAAATAAAAATAAAACACAAAGTTACTAAATTTAGAGACTGCAATCCAGTGAGTGACAGATCTATATTCCCCAAGTTAGACTATCAGGTATCAGATTCTACCCTCAGGTCCCACCTGATTTGCAATAGAACTGCTATGTTCCAAAGAAACATGTTATATAAAACTGATTATAAAATAACTGCTTGATTATAAATTAATATAAAATAGCTGTTTGAATGAGAAGAAATGAAATTTTAAACAGAGTTTCATACTAAAAATTATTTTTTCACTGAAACTGTCAGTATTGGAGTTACTTTAATTTCTTTGTTTTACTGTTCAAATAGAGTTGTAACCGAAAACATCTCAGCAAACGGAGTTTGTGGTCTAGGCAAACAGGTTTTCTTTTCCTAGAGCTACCTCGTTAACACCCTTTAAACATTAAAAAAAACGTGCACACTCCTTTCATTACAAAGATATCGCTACCATGGAAAAAGCAAAGTCACAAAGTAAGAGGCCATATTTGTTTGTAGAGGATAACCATACTTCTAATTAATCAGCCCTGTTTGCACCACGAAAATCCCCACAATCAGAGAAAGTCCTGCTTAGGAGGTACCAGGAGAGAAGAGAGGAGGGGCCAGGTTTGCCCAGGAGTTGCAGAAAGCTTGCCCAGGGAGGGGAGGCCCAAACCTAAAAGGGCGGCCTGCAGACAGAGGGCAGGAGGGAAACAGAAGAAGGGGTGCTGCTGCCGGAAGGCCAAAGGTACCTGCTTGGAAGACTCTGAAGATGTGAGCCGAGAGCCACATCTGAGAGAAAAGCACATTCCTAACGAAGAGAAGGTGAGGCCCTTCAAATTTGATGAAGTAAGTAGTTGTTCCCAAGGGCAAGGTTAAAACCCCCAGTTCCTCTCAGTTCTGGTGGTTTCCTCCTCCTCTTCCTGCTGCCCCTCTGTGGCCCCTTCCCAGGGTTAGCAGGAAGTGACAGGCACTCAGGTGGGGCCCAGAGGGACCCACCAAGGCAAGGACAGCCTCTTCCTGAAGTCTCAGAGGGGAGTGGGCACTATTCTGAGCTCGGGCCACGCAGGCAATGAAGTCCCGCCTCTGAGAAGCAGTTACTGCTCTATGAACATTTTCTATTCTTCACAAAATCATCTATTAAGAACTGACATGGTAAATGAGAATGCCATGTGCCCAGGGAGAATTAAATTCTCCTTTATTCCCGGTTACTTTCAACCTGCAACCAACAAGAACCTGTGTGATGTGTATGTTTTCTCTCCATGAGGGAACAGGGCCTGTGTCTGTGGAGAGAGAAGAGCTTTGGCATTTCCTAATCAGAGCTAGGGAACTAATTCTTGGACATGGCCTCTTGGCACTGGCTGCCCTCCCTGCCCTGGCTCTGGCCTGTGGTCAGTCCTATACATTATCCATGAGTGCAATATTACAACTTGTCTGCAGGTAGCAATGAAGGGGCTTGGAGGGAGTCTTCTCCAAGCGGTTCTGAGAGGCAATGGCAATGGCACTCATGCATGGGGACTGCAGGCAACTATATGTTAGCTGCTCTTTGCAATTCTGATTCTATAGTGTCAGTCAGTATGTTATTCCTCTTCCTAAAGCAGTTCCCACACTTCAGACTGAAGTGAATGGCCTGGACAGCTTGTTAAAATGCAGACTCCTGGACTTGCCCCCATTCTCAGAGATTTGGGTTCCAGTGGCTTATGTTGAAGCTCAGGAAACTGAATTCTTAACAAGCACTCTTAAGCTATCTGTGCTGAAAGCCCATTTAGAAAGTCCCAGTAGATGACAATGAGTTATTAGAGACATGTATTTGGATGACATTTGGTGTCAAATTTCTATAAAAATATTTAAATACTCTACATTTCCACAGTAATCTGGTTGTAGACTGGTCCAGTGCTGGCCCACCACCCATGCTGGTCTAACACATACATTCTCTGAAAAACTCTGCTGTCAAGGAGTCTCCAAGCTATCCAAGCTATCTCACAGTAGCCAGACATTCTACCTGCTGGGCAGCGGACACACCAGGAGATCTTGGGGTAGGTTCCCTATACATCTTTACTGCTACTGTCTTGGTTTCAAAGAGCTACTAGGTGCTTGAATCTGATGTTTTAAAACAAAGTTTTTCAGAAAAGATTTTTAATCTTGTTGTGAGTTAACTACATTTTAAATCACATATTTGCTACATATACAATACTAGAGTCCCAGTGCACAAAATTCGTGTATTGGTAAGGTCCCTATTGGCTGTTGGCTGCCAGCAGGGGCCTACCTCCCTTCCACCGGCCAACTCTGGTTGAACTCTGGGACAACTCCCAATGGAGAGGACAATTTTCATACTACACTTTTAAAAAATATATATTTTATTGATCTTTTACAGAGAGTTAGAAATAGTGATGAGAGAGAAACATCGATTAGCTGTCTCCTGCACATCCTCTACTAGGGATGTGCCCACAATCTAGGTACATGCCCTTGACCAGAATCGAACCGAGGATCTTTCAGTCCACAGGCCAACACTATCCACTGACCAAACAGGTTAAGGCCATACTATACTTTTATTATATAGGATAGACTTGTCATAAAACTAGACAAAATGTTATGGTTTCACTATAAGTAAATAGGTACATTTTAGCATTTTCATAAATATTTTTTATTTTATTTATTTTATTTATCTCAGAGAGGAAGGGAGAGGGAGAGAGAAATAGAAACATCAGTGATGAGAGAGAATCATTGAGCAGCTGCCTCCTGCACACCCTATACTGGGAATCAAGCTCACAACCTGGGCAAGTGCCCTTGACCAGAATCAAACCTGGGATCCTTAGGTCAGCAGGCCGACACTCTATCCAGTGAGCCAAACCAGTTAGGGCAGTGTTTGGCAAACTGTGGCTCAAAAGCCACATGTGGCTCTTTGACTTCTTGAGTGTGGCTATTCCACAAAATACCATGTGCAGGTGCACACATACAGTGTGATTGAAACTTCGTGGTCCCCATGCGCAGAAGGTGATTTTCGGCTCTCAAAAGAAATTTCAATCGCTGTACTGTTGATGTTTGGCTCTATTGACTAATGAGTTTGCCGACAACTGAGGTAGGGCAATATTTTATATTTTAAAACAACTTCTAGGGCTTCAGAAATTCAGAACTTGCCAATTAGTTCATGACAGTCCCAAACAAAGGGCAATCAATGGAAGTTCAGAGCATTTGGCTTCTCAGCTCAGCATCTGTGTGACACAGATTTAGCAACAGTGGTCCCATGTCGTGCTGTACCCACATGTATGAGTGGTTTCCTGTGACTATGAGCTTTTGCCATGCACCCTAAAATATATGTAGTAGCAGAATCTGCTCTAAGTGTTTAAATGGCAGCCATTAATAGTGAAATTAGAATGGCAGCACCTTCAGTAGGAAAATTAAATTACTATACTCATTGGGTACATGTAAAAGATGGACAAAATTTATGGTTCCAAAGGTAGAGAATATTTTTATTTGAAATTATTTTTTCAGGCTATCTAGTCAATTCATTTAGCAGGTGAATACATTTTAATTTATTAAGGCTGTTATTACATGTAAATTTGAGTTTAGATTCAGATTTTGGCATATAATATGTACTGAAAATCATTATTAAATGTGGATATATCTACACATCAGTGTTCCTAAGAGTTGTTAATACACAAAACTCCGAAGATGGCATTTCTTCTGACAAGTTCAGAGTATGTGTATAAAGGTACAGGGGGTGTGGGAAGTAAATACTGTTGGAGAGGGGGGAAGGGTAAGGACAGGACTAGAAAGACCAGAGTCCAGGTACTACTGGGAGATCTCTTCAAATAAATTCAACATTTATTAAATGGGTTACAGTGCTAACCATTGAGGATTTAGAAAACGTTAAACTAAAGAAGTAACCTTTAAATTAAAAATAGGGGCTAAGCCCATAACCTAAAGCTCTAAGGGTGACTTGAGGAAAGTGTCTTAAACATTGTGCTGAGGAAAGTGTTGGCCACCACACCAGCCTCTCTGCTGAGGTGCTGCGATGCTGAGCTCCATTGTCCAGACACGACAGCCACTACCAATGAGATTCCAGGTCAGGAGTCCCCTCCCAACCCCCTGGCTGTGAGGACTATATAAGCAAGGATACAAG